ATGTCTAAGCTTTTTTCTTTTTTTGCATTGGAAGTTTTGTTGTCTGTCCTGGCAGACTGTGGAACTGGAGGTTAGTGAAATATTATCTCACGAGTTCAGAGAGCAAATACTGAACAACTGATGGGAGAAGGGATTTTTAGTCAGACTATAAAACTTATTGGGAAAAGGTGTGGGTTTTTTTGTTGAAATCTAGTTAACTATGGTGGTAAATGTTTTGGGTAAAGGATGTCTCTGTTAAAAATTCAGTGTCCTGCTCCTTCAGTGAAAATTAGAGCTCAGGTTAAACACCTGAGACAGGTTCTGATGGGTCTCCCAGGAAAAACAGGGAAGACCAGACTTGACATTCCTGATGCTTTGGTGGTGAATATCAAGTAGGATTAAAAAAAACCCCAAAAACCAAAAACATTTTTTAGGCCTTGTTTGCACGCTAAAGGTACAATAAGGGATGCCAGCTGTTCTTAAAACCCTGTGCTAGTCACCTCCAAGGGGAAATGTTTCTGTTTTTTGTCTAAGGTTTTTTTTTTCATGGTCTGTTCCTGTATTATTTCTTTTTATGAATTCAGGCTGGTCTCTTTCAGTAGCTGAAGTGTACGTAGCAGCCATTTCCTTCCACAGTGTTCCTGTACAAGGAATTTGTTGGCTTTTCTCTGTACCTGAGTGAAATAGTTCCTTAAAGGCCTGGTGAATTTATATCAACACATATGAAGTCCTCACTGTCTGTGGGATTTTAGTCTGTTTTTTACTTGCCAATCGGTAGCACTTAAATTTGGGAATTACCCAGTTCTCTGAAAACCCTGCCCAATAATGCTCACCCTGCTACAACTACAGCAGGTCTGGAGGGAGAGGAAGATAAAAGAATAAAAAATTTGGCCTGGAAAGATGGGCCCACAGAGAGAATCCTGAGGAACCTCCATTTGGCTTGTATGGAGTTGTCTTCTCTCTCTGTGTGTTTGTAGTACCTGAAGAATGCCATCAGGGGGAACTGGCAAACAGTTTGAAGGAAGGAAAAAGCTCACTAGATGGATCTTCTGTCCGTAAAATTTCAGGAAGCCCGCAGAAAAGCTGTTTCTTCTGAAAGCTCCGTGCACCAGTTTCTGCAAGCAGCCTGCAGTGCAACGTTCAGCCCCCCCTAAATCAAGCAGAACTGCAATATGTAAGAAGAGGGAAGAACTCATGAAAATATTCCGGAGCCACCGGATAAGTGGACAGTGGGCTGTCTTTGTGGGTGAAGATAGATCACATTAGTTTTCAGGGCTGAGAGTTTGGCACCTTCCATTTAAAATGTTAAAACTCTGTTCAAAGATTAAGTTCACAGATAACTCTTTTTTCCCCAAGGGAAAATGGCAGCTATTAATCTGCCTCTGTCTTTGAAAATGAATTGCAAAGATAAGCAAACAACTAACACTGTCAAAAAATATACTTTGCCTTCCCTTTGAAGAGCTCAAATCACTATACAATCATTAACGTGAAGCAAGACTGAGTGCTAACCTTTTCCCCATACCTGCTATATACATTATGGTTACTATTTTGCTTTTAAAGATGTTGTTAGATGTAGATGTCATTTCCCCATAACATCGGATACAGCTCATAATTTCCCACCAAAATTCAGAAATCTTATTTTTCTAGAAGTATGTATTTGTCTTCTCTATTGGTTTCTTTGGGTTAAAACAAAAACTTCCCTACGTTCTTTCTATACCTTTTTTAAAGTATTGCTTTCTTAATGTGGCTTTTTGGTAGTATATTCATCTATTTTTTTATGTTCAGTTGTATTTTGTTTTAAATTAATTCCCCAAGAGTTTTTTGGTAGTGGTAGGCAATTTATAATAATAATTGGATTATGATAAATTAATGTAGCACTCATTTTATAATTGTTTACTGTATAAAAGACTGAAAGCTATTGATTTATCTGAGGTTAACATTAGAAAAGTTTGCACTTGCCAAAAGATGTCCAGTAATATTTGCAAATAACTGTTGATAAATGGTTTCTGCTAAATAAATGCAGGCACTGTGGCCACTTACCTGCTGCACTTGGGGCAGCACTTTAGAAATGTGTTTGTAATTGTCTTGCATATGAGAATGAACTTGAATTATGCATTCATGGCTAACTTCAGACCTCCTTTTCAAATTGGGTAATTCTGAACCCAAAAAAGATACCTTTTGTTTTGCTGGTCAGATTGCATTTTTTATGAATGTGAATACCGGTAGCAGATGTGGGCTTCGATCAACCTTTCTGCCTCTCACCGTCCCACTGCTGCCAAAAACTACACCATCATTGAATTACTTATTTACCATTACAGTAGGAAACATGGCACTGCTAGTTTTAGAGATATTCTTATGTAAAATATGTTGATGGAGAGCTTGCTTGTTTGTTTGGGCTATTTGTTAATATTTGTCTATATCTTCACTATCATTCTTTTTTGGTGAATTTGAAACACTGATCTGGTGAAGCCTACTTCCTAATTGCAATTATTATATAGTTTGCTGTTAACTGAAAATCATGTGTAACTGAAAGGTAAACAGAAGTTATCTAAATGTTTACATTTAGATTGGAAACTAAGTTTTGTAAATTTACTTACAGTGGGTTATGCGCCTGGATTATATTAAACAGTTTGTGTTGATTTTTCTGAAATTATAAATATGGAGTTCATTAAATCTTAGATCTGCAGGTTCTATGGAACAATCAGTTCCTTGCTTCTTTAAAATAATTGACTTTCTTATGTAAAATGTCAGGAAAGTTAAATGAATAGATATATCATTTAATATGAAAGCTTTAGCAGATATGAATAGATGAGGAAAGTAACGTGCAATAATTAGATAAGAAATCAAGTGGATGACTTGGAATAGTTAGTTTCCCATAAGACTGTGAAATAATTCTAGGTTATTACTTCTCCAGTAGAAAGGCTGCTTCTGTGTTTCCAATATTTTCTTGGAAGCTGACTTTTTTATCTTTAATGATATGGGGTAGCTGTGGTAGCGAGAGTGCATTTCTGAAAAACAGTATCTAGATAACTGTGGCAACATATACTCTCTGGCGAGTGGCAGTTTTGGCTGTGGAAACTAAGTCTTACGTTAAGATAAAAATTTTTTTTCTAAAATCAAATGAATTGCACAGCAGGGCCTTAATCGATAAAACTGTTTGAAAAGTGTCTTTGGCTCAGCTTACTGACCCATAGGGTATAACTTGCACCATAAAGCTAGAGTTACAGATTAAGAACTATTGGGGGTCTTCTGACATCAAAATTAACAACACATGTTGTTGTTGTGTTTTTTTTTTCTGGTGCCAGAACCTTCTAAAACTATTGGCTATAATGATTGATATCAAGGTCATGGAAAACAGACAAGCAATGTAGGAATTTATAAATCTCTGCTCTCTTTCTAGCCTGTGTGCCTCAACTTTGAATGGCTCTATGGAAAACATAAAACATGTGCTTTTTTTCAGAATCCAGAAGTAGAATTGGAATATTACAACCATACATTTTCCCATGCCTCTGCAATAAAACTCAGAATTACTCAGGGTGTTGAACCAATCCTTGTGAGCATATCTGAAAGGGCTAATTATAGACAACACACAGTTCCCTTGTCCTCAGCAGCTGTTTATAGACATTCCTTAAAGCACATGTCTAAATATTTACCATTCATTTGTAGGTTAACATGATATTATGTGTTTGGGAGAAAATGTAAACAAAATTAGTGCCCTAGGAAAGATCTTAAATTTTATTTCTGTTGAGCTCTTGATTAATTTACTGTAGAATCAGTCTTTTCTCATATACCATAATGCAGGGTTATGACTGACTACTCAGTTTGTACTTCACTGATTCTCCAATTAGTGTATTGCAGATTTATGCAGCTTCAAGGGGCTAGAGTCAATTTTTAAGTGATCTGTTTTACAGCAGTTTGACTGTACAAACACTCACTTTCATAAGTAAGGGTTTATTTAGGATATGTATAGCACTTTGGCCTAAAGTCAACAATGCCAGTGTAGTTTACATGTTGACAATGCTGGCATTTTTCTACCTTATTCTGTTCTAAGAAAGATCATTTGCTGTGGGAAGTCTGTTTATTGATGATACCGTACATATACTCCTTCATCCTTTGCCTACATACATCATAGTAAGTTCATTAGGGGAGGAGTGAATCAAACTGGGCAACATAACGCTATCTGTTAAATAAATTGATTATATTTTAAAAAATCATTTTGGGATAAACTGATACCTGTAGTATCTTTAAAATATTGACAAATACCTGTTGTGCAAAATAAGTAAAAGTTATGCTGCTTTATTTAGAAGATAAATGGCATTAGGTAAATTACATTATTGTACATTTGCAGTCTTTTTTTGAAATCTTGAACATGATCACAATCCGTCTGAGTTTCTTCTTTTACGTCAAACTGTTTGTGGCACATCAGTATATGTTGAACAAAAACTCTAGTTTTGATAACACTTGCACTTTCCGGAAATTGGCTTTCATGGAACTGAGAGGCACATTTATGACTATGATGTTCTGCTTGTAAAAGTTAAGATTTAACCAATCTCTTCCACCAAACAGGAAGGCCAAAAAAAAGGTGCTTTAGTGATAAGGATGATAGGAAAAGCCGCACCACTAGTGAGGAGGATGGAGGAGCAAAAGATATGGGGGTGGGAAGAGGAACTTTGAGCTTGTGCAGGGCATGGATTTAGAATAAAATAAACTATAATTTAATGTAACTTTCCTTAGTCCCTTCTGGCAATTTTGTATTTTCTCCTGGGTTTTGTATTTGACAGAAGATTTCAAATGTGTTTGTAAAATTAGTTCAAGTTTTATTTTCCAGTAGTGGTAAATAAGACATACAGTGGTATATTTTTCAATGATTTGTTTTGGAAAACTGCATAGATTTCAGTGTATTCAAATTAATAGAGAAAATTTAACTTCAGTGCTAACATTCTCTTGTTTCTGTTTTGTGTGTTCTGTTTGTTCTGACCATTCTCTGGGGACTGTGCTTCTGTTAAATCCCTCCAATGCAGTTCACAAGATTCCTCTGCGATTCTCCACTTGAGGTATGAATTTAATCCTAATTCTAAACTTTGTAATTGTTTAATGCCAGGGTATCTTGGTTTCTTCAATCTTCTGTAAACTGTACTTCTACCAGATCATTATCTAGGTATTCCAATAAGAGGATTATCTGTAAGGGGCATAGGCTGAGATTTTCAAAGGAGCGTATGGGAGAGGCACATTCTTCCTTTGAATTTCCGTGGGAGTTAACTCCTTCAGGTTCTTTTGATAAACACACCCATTGACTCTGGTATACACAATACACCTATATTTTAGTATTGGGGATTGCATACATTGAGGCAAAACCCGGTAGCCCTTGGTCAAGCAAAGCTCTTCAGGATTGTAGAATCAGGTCATGAAAGGATAATAAAATGTCTACATTTCTGATTGATTTAAGTTAATTTTAAAAAATTGTGGTTGGATTTTTTTTTTTTTACTTTTTAATAATGGCCAGGTGTCCGATTGAAAGTTATAACTATCTTAGGATGCCATGCTATCTTTTCCCTCTTCTCTTTAGTAATACCCACTAATGCAGAATCTATCCATAGTCTGGGAGAGAAAGTTATCAAATGATTAAGGGCATCATTAGTGCCCCTCAAACATTGTAGTGGGTAGGGCCTTCTGTCCCTGCATTCCAGCAACATCAACTTCATTGTCAGTCCAGCAAGGTCTCTGGGAATATTTTGAGGGGGACTAAAGGGGCAGAAGTTAAGTAAAATTCTAAAGTTTTCATTGTGTTAATCTGATTTCCCCCGCCCCCACACAGGACATTTATCATTCAGTGCTACTTAGGACACCTGGTATTCTAAAGACCAGGCTTACTTTATATACTAATTATGAAACATGTTCTACAGTAATATCATATGTTAATGGTACCAAGCCTCAGTGAGTGTTTGTCCATACAAAAGGATGGTTTAACAAGTGAGGAGCTGTGTGTCTTATTTTAAATTGATTATGTTAATGTTTATCAGTTGCAGTGTCTTTATGCTTTTAACTGATTCTCTGACTCTGTTACTACAGTACAAATCCAAGATAAACAAAAAATAAATTTAATAATTGAGGAATATGCCCGTTCGGTTCTATGTTGCAATTAACTTCCTCAGCCATCAACAAACTCCTTTCTCTGCCTTTCTTAAGAGTCCATCTCCAGTGCACAGCCCTTAGCCACTTTTGGGCACACACCATGTAATAAGGTTGCTGTTGCTCACTAGATCTGTGAAAGAGATCTTTTTTTAAAATAGGTCATCCTCATTTTTACTTAAAAGGGATGCAAATGGTAAATTGGTTATTGCATCAGTTGGCTTTGCAGAAGTTTGGCTAGCATGATTGTTTTATTCCGGTCATCTCAATCCATTGTTGTGACATCGTACAATAAGACTTTAAACTTTTCAAGATCCACTCTTTTAATGTTGGTGCCTGCATGCCAAACCAGGATGGCTGTTACCAGGAAAATCTTTGTGTAAGTGAAAATTTTCACAAGATGTTGAAAGCACAATAGTTTACAGGGCCTAACGGGCTCTAAGATCTTTACTGTGCTCACATGCTTATGATTATATGTGACCACCAATTTTCTGTTCCTTTGCTCTCATTGCTGGCAGAAGTTTTTAGCACAGCCTGACAGCTAGTCCCCTAGCTGGTTCCTAAATGCATGCTTGTTACATGGCTCTTCTGCTGGTTTAAAGTAAGTTCACTTGCAGGTTTCTGGAAAATGGCTAATCTGTCAGCCTCAGTTTGTTTAATATCCCTTTTTCTTTTAAGAATTAAAACCATGGAAGAATACTGGAGGAGAGAGGGTGGGCTTGGGGAAAGAGGCTATGCATAACATCTCATGTCATACTTTGGGTTATTATGTCAATACAAGTAAATTAGAAATGAGCAAAAAACTCAACATTAAGAAATATTTTCAGAAAGAGTTTCTACCGTTTTGGCAGTTTGTTTGTAAAAACCGGTTTATTGTGAAATAAAGGAAAATTAAGTGAACACATCACGTTTTAATCTTATCTGCTTTTGTTCTAAAGAGGAATCCAGGACTAGTGACTAAGAATTGAGAAAGGAGTTCACAGTTTGGAATGATGATTGAGATTATTTCATTTCCAGAACAAATACTGGGAAACAAAAATGTGGTACTATCTTTGTTGTATGTCTTAAAGAGTTAACAACCACATGATGGTAATGAAATTGTCAGGTTATAGTAATTACACCAGTAATTTGATATGTTGCAGTTTGAATGAAGCCATGTGTGGAGAGTTTGTTACTTTTCTCTGCTGAATCCACCCCCTTTACATTCCTGCAAGCTGAAGACTAATAGAGCTCATTAGACTTTATAGGAAAAGGGCTTTTATCACCTCGTCAAGTCAGGCAGCAGATTTCCATTATATTTCTAATTTTGTATGGCTACATAGATGCTGATGTACGCTTTCCTGCTAGGTTTATGCTAGTATTCTTTCTTTCAGACATTTTTTATTGACATTTCGAAGCTTGAATTAAATTTTGTGTGGCACCACTTACAGATGTCTTCAATTAGATGAAGTTAAATAAAAGGGGTTGTATATCTGAGGCCAAAGGATTCTTGAAATTCTCTATTCTGAAACAATTTCCACAAGTCAATCCAGTAGGATGCAGCTTCTTCCATTTTGAGAAAAAAAAATTCAAAGCAAAACAAAACCTTATGTGAGTTTGAATTTGTTTTGAATTTTTAATCTGTATTAGCTGCAGCAAGTACCTATATTAAAATAGTCTTCCCACTCATTTTATACTTCCTTCCTTTATTACTTAATTCAATCTTGAGGTATTGCCATCAATTCTTAAACATGAATTAAAATATTATTTCCTTCGAGATATAGTAAGTGACAGGGGAAGAACAGAGAACTCTCTAGCAAAAAATACAATTCTGTAAAGAGAACCATCCTATTTTCCCCACTAAGACTATATAAAAAGCATTCAGCTCTTTATCACTGCTAAAGCTTTTTGTGCCTTTGGTGCCCCTTCAGTCTGTCTAGACAAGAGCAAGATTGATGGTGTGGTACAATGCATAGCAATCTGCCATATAAATATTAGCAGAATAGCTAAGAATTATTCGATGAGTACAAATAAGCATATCAGTGATTACACTCTCTTGTGGTACTCTTTGGTGTTTACTTGGAGAAAATGCAATGCTCTTAAAACAGAAAGTTGCAATGTCAAGTAAGAGTTTGTACATGAAGTTCTCTCTGCACTGAAATGAGAACCTTACAAAAATACCAAGATTGGGGATGAAAGTAGGACTACAGTAAATGATCTTATGAAGTTCCAAATGGTTGTGATGTTGGCAAATCTTTATTAAGCATAGCTGTTAAATAGATTTTTGGGAATCAGCAAATCGTAGTCAGTTTTTGTTATCTCTTTGTTACCCTCATTAGTTTGCTTTTCCCCCTTTTACAAGCCTTCCTACGTGTCCTCTTCCCAGGCCACTATGTTGCTTCTTTATAGTAGTTTTGCCCTGTCTTTCCCTCGCTTTGTCTCATCACCTCATTTCAGGTTCAGAACTTTGTGCAAGACACCTGTTACTAGCATTGACAGTGCTGTGCCATAGATTTGCCATCAGCCTTCTAAAGTGCACCAGTCAAACTAGCTTTCAGAGCAGGCACAGCTTACATGTTTTGCCAAACCTTCAGGGTGAGGAATGAATGTGCTTGTGACCATTGGTTTTCTGTCTGGACAACTATTTTCTTCCCTTGACCGCCCCTTCTAAAAATATTTAAACATGCTACTTCGTTAATCCCCATCCTCCACCCCAAAAAAGTCATGGGTTACTATTTAAGAAGTTAAATTTAAGGGTTGATTTATTATGAAATGCTTAAAATACGTGGTTTATATTTTAGAATAATAGAACTAAGAAAAAGTTTGTGCTCCAACACAAGTTCTAATTTTTATATCTGACCTTTTATATTCATGCTGTTCAGAAAACATCTGATAGTCAATACATTTCTGATGTTTTAGAAAAACTAAGATTAATGGGATTGGTATATAAGGTAATTCTATACTGTATCCTTTTAGCCCTTACTTACAATTTGTGATAAAAATAACTGATTTTTTTTTTAATGTCAGTTTTCTGTGCAGTTTCTTCCTGTCTTCTATCAGAGGGGTAGTTGTGTTAGTCTGTATCCTTGTTCTTCCTGTCTTCACTGGTCATTGGCCAAGACCAATCAATACAAAAACTTTTCACCCTCCTTATTCAGCCCATCACGTTTTTGTCCATCCTCTGCTCTCCCCAGTCTTTAGATGCATTGCTGTGTAGTGGCCATCATCTTTAACTCTTCGTTTAACCAGTTTTAGTGCTAAGTGACTACAGCTGAGGAGACATTGGTTGTGAGTTTTTTCCTTTTAAGATCTTATCCTTCACCTTTCCCCCCACATACAGATGGAGACATTGGTAAATGGCTTGTCTAGTTTTTGTAAAGTCTAGCACAAACTTCCTCGTTGCTGGACTTTACAAAAACTAGACAAGCCATTTACAACACACATTTTGCTTCTCTACAAAGGAAAAAGTACACTAAATTATCTAAACTACTACATGCCACAAGGGACCACAACAGTAGTGGCCTTAACAATATTGTTAATTTATCCAGCTATATTCTTAGCCCAGCTGAAGAGTCTGTCCTGTCTCGGGGCCTCTCTTTCTGCCCCTCCACCCCCACAAACATGATACAGTTCTGTGGTGACCTGGAATCCTACTTTTGACGTCTCTGACTCAAGGAATGTTTCCAACACACCTCTGAACAGCACACTAATCCACAGAAACCTTCCTACCAACACTACAAAAAGAAGGATTCTGTGTGGACTCCTCCTGAAGGTTGAAACAACAGATTGGACTTCTATATAGAGTGCTTTCGCCGAAGTGCACGGGCTGAAATTGTGGAAAAGCAGCATCACTTGCCCCATAACCTCAACCGTGCAGAACACAACGTCATCCACAGCCTCAGGCACAACTCTGTCAGCCTTTTTGATTATGATGTCAAAGGAGATG